AGGGAAAGGAATTAAAACTAGAGCCGTGCAGACGGGCACCGAGACAGTGTGTATCACACCTGTAGCATTGAATGAAAATCGAATGCAACATAATCACCATTCGGCAACTCCCGGACAATTCGACAATTAACGTTAAAGCTGAAGACACATACATGCGATGCCTGCTTTGCGGTAAACCGGTGCGATTGCGGTAAGTCACCTGCGGAACAGCTGCGTTTCACCGGACATGTGTCATGTCAATTACATACCCTTGTATGTCAACTTTTAGAGCGAATGACGTCAATACCGGAAGTGATACAGAAATTTTGAGAACAAAATTTTGTTCGCAATCAAAATGTTTATCAACTCGTAAATTTTCAGATCGATCGAAATAAAATTGTAGAGGTTAAAAAAAAACGTTATTATTAAAAGAAAAAAAGTCAGCGACAATAGTCAAAATCTTAAATTTTTTAAAGTGCTATCCTTTAGTCATTACTAAAAAGTGAGGAACAAAACAAAAATTTGATCAAAAATGGATTCAGAATTGGAGCAGTAATTCGAAAGACGTCAAGAGTGGCTACGACCTACGTCATTTCCGGTTGGAAAAAATGCGTCATTTTACATTAAAACAACAACGACACGATCTTTATGACAGATAATGATGTCAGTTAATGTGTGACATATGCAGTTTTGGCTGGACGCTCTGACCAGAATCGGAAAAAAGATACAGCGATAAAACGTTGAATTTTAAAGTCACAATGAGATTTTCTACCGAAAAGAAAAGCATGTATCCATTCAAAAGTCAAAACATCGTTTAAACCGTTTAACGTTCGGTAGTGAAAAGACGTTGGAATTTGATACCATTCGGTACTAAAAGATGTTATCATTCGGTAGTAAAAAGTCGAATTTTCAAATATCTGTAAAGTTAAAAGTACAAATCGAACAACAAAAATTAAAAATATTTTTGCGAAGGTCTCGTCAAATACAATAACTTGTGTTACGGTACACAAAGGTCAAATAAAAAAGGAATAAGCCTTAAAAGTGTTGAAAATTGCTGTATTTGGACGTGTGTAAAAGCGTAAATATATGTCGGTCATCAAAGATAAAAGTATGAATGGACATCATAGAACAATAACCTTTGACATTGCATGTAAATGGTCAAAATATGAAAATTTTATCAATTGTAAAACCTATTTCCTTTTTTAAAGTAAAAAGCCCAAACAAAATGTAATTCTATCACTTATTGTCCCAAATAGTGATTTATTTTTATGTAAAATTTCGATGGTGACAAATGCAAAATTTGCGAGTTATAACAATTTGAAATATTTAAGATTTGCCACGCCCACTTCAAAAATTTTGTGTTGTCTCTAATAATGTGTCCAATGTCAAATAATAATCAAAATTTCAAGTGTTTACAATCATTAGATCATGAGATATTCGTAGTTAAAATTTTCAAATTCTAAAAAGCGCAATTTTAATCAAAATACCAAGTCTTACATATTATTTGAAAGAATAGATTGCGCGTAATAAGGCCATAAGAGAAATTTCCACGTATGTAAATTAGGTTACGTTCAGTTGGCTGTAGAACCGGAAGTTAACGATGTACAACAAAAGTGAAGATAATATCGAATATATCTCCTAATGGGCAACAACTTTTGTTCAGGTCAAAAGGTCAACAAAGGTCAAATAAAAGTAATATGAGCCTTTGAAGTTTCGAAAATTGCTGTTTTCGGACGTCTGCAAAACCGGAAGTATATATCGGCCATCAAAGATCAAAGTAAGAATGGTCATACTAAGTCAATGACCTTTGACCATGCAAAGGTCAAGGTCATTTATGTTAAAGATGAAATTTTTTAAAATTGTTAAACCTATTCCCCTTTTTAAAGTAAAGAACGCAAACAACTGTAATCTTATCACCCATTGTACTATGTAGTGATCTATTTTCATGCAAAATTTCTAGGGTAACAATTGAAAACTTATGGAGTTATGACCAATGCAAATATTTCAGGTAAAGTAAATGCACACCGGATGTGCCACGCCCACTTCAAAAATTTTAAGTTGCCTGTGATGAGGTGTACATTGTTAAATAATGTTCAAAATTTCAAGTGTTTACAATCATTAGATCATGAGATATTCGTAGTTTTTAAGGCAACGGCTACTGTCCTTGGATTATAGACACCGTGAATTTACGCACAGTTACTATAGAAGTCGGTACAAAATTTTCAATTTTTAAGAAGCGCAATTTTGATCAAAATATCAAGTGTGATATATCACCAAAATTATATTAAAATCTTTTTAATTCTATTTGCTAAAGATCAGCTAAATCTTGTTAACCTACGTAAATCACACCGGAAGTTATTCAACCGGAAGTAGATTTGAAATTCAGTCGTTTTCCTGCTTAAAAGCGGAAATGACGTACAAAATTTGACTGTATCATATTATTTGGGGCGCGGTAATTAGGTCACAGGAAATTCGGTCACCAGAACTTTGGTCACAGTAAAAAGGTCACACGGTAATTTGGTCACAGTAATAAGGTCACATGGTAATTCGGTCACAGTAATAAGGTCACACGGTAATTTGGTCACAGTAAAAGGGTCACAAGGTAATTTGGTCACAGTAAAAGGGTCACATGGTAATTTGGTCACAGTAATACGGTCACACGGTAATTTGGTCACAGTAAAAAAAGTCACACGGTAATTTGGTCACAGTAAAGGGTCACATTGTAATTTGGTCACAGTAATACGGTCACACGGTAATTTGGTCACAGTAATATGGCCACACAGTGATCTAGTCAAGACAAAACTAGTAAAATGAAATTACTGGTAACTGGTGTAGTGATATTTATTTCATAATACATAATATAGTGTTCTGCTTGTCTTTTGCCAGAGATGGGTGGACGTTGTGGGGCCCTGAACGGTCGAACAGTATTTGGTATACCTGTCAATCTGCAGCTATATAGTTATTGCTGATACAACCCGCTACCGGTCTGCCTTTTAAGCTTGCAAGCCATACCACCGTTTAACTTTTGCCGACTCTCGCCATTCCAAATTACAGAATTCTCACTCACTGAATGCAGCCTGTGAAATCATCCAGTATAGACTTTAGCAATGAAGTTGATTTAATATGTATTTTATATATAATCTCCACTACTCATAAATTTCCGTGCCTGTACCAATAACGTGAGCGTTTCAAAGCAGATTCTTTTCGATTTTCGGGTGGGGGTAGGGTGAGATGCTTCGCACGTATCTCACGTATCTGAAGGGCGCCCATCTCACTCTACCCGAAAATTGAAAAACGCTCAGGTCATTGGGACAGGCGTGGAAATTTACGAGCAACGGTGCTAATATATACGAGCGGACGCCCACAAGGCTATACGCCCACCAGCAGCAAATCTCAACGCGGCTTTCGCCTTTTAAATAGCATCACTACTTCCATGTAGCCAATATACACAGGTAAACTAGGTTTCAATCGAATCAGAAAAAAAATTTGAATTAAAAGTCAATTTCAATAAATTTTGTGCTAAGTCACGAACCTACTTAAGTTGTGACATTGCCCGTCCTCCACCATTTATTGAATCTAGTCATCAACTACAAGCGGTTGATATGAATAAGATGACCAACACCACTGAAAATGGGTAATTTTAATATGACCAAATTACTATGTGACAGTATTACTGTGACCAAATTACCGTGTGATTTTTTTACTGTGACCAAAATACCATGTGACCTTTTTACTGTGACGAAATTACCGTGTGACCCTTTTACTGTGACCGAATTACCGTGTGACCTTATTACTGTGACCAAATTACCATGTGACCGTATTACTGTGACCAAATTACCGTGTGACTTTTTAACTGTGACCAAATTACTGTGTGACCTTTTTACTGTGACCAAATTACCGTGTGACCTTATTACTGTGACCAAATTACCGTGTGACCTTTTTACTGTGACCAAATTTCCGGTGACCGATTTACCTGTGACCTAATTACCTACATTCTATTATTTACATTAGTGCAGTCTCTTTGCATTTAAAATTTCAGATCAATTGATGCAAAAACAAAAAACCTGATCGAAAAAAGTGAGCGACGAATTTTCGGATTTTGTAATGTTTTAAGTGCTATCAGGTCAGAAATTACAAGTAGATTGTAAAAAAGAAAACCCGAAGAAAATCGATGCAAATTTGTGCCTTCTAGAGCCGATTTTCGACTTTTGCACATGTTGAACTGTTGCACTTCCGGTTTGGCAAAAATGTTCCAAAATATATTCTTTAGCAACGATGCCACTACAGAAGGTCTACAGAAGTTGTAATGTTGCTGCAACTAATGCAGTCTATGCTCAGGAAGGTGTGTAAAATACGAAAAGTTGTCGAAGCAAAGACCCACAAAAATGATTATTAAACACTTTATTCACTATCACTTAGTAAAGAAGACAACGAAATTCACCATTCAAGGTGTGGGCACACGAGCGGTCTTGGTCGGAGATTTTTGTCGCCGATTAGAGTCTTTCAAATAAACTGATACTCATCAACTCTTGCACAAGAGCTCCTTTCACCCAAAACGTACCTTTTCTGGTATAATTAAGTCACACGTTGTACGATTTCATCGAATTTACACAAGATCTTTTGATTTCAACCAAGCCTGTACGATTGTTTTCTCAAAACTGAAAGAGCGCGGGTAATCTAAACGATTTTTGTCGCTGATTACTCTTGACAAGACTTTAGTCGGCGACAAAATCTCCGACCCAAAACCGTTCGAGTGTCCGCACCTTAAGACAGAGATAGTTTGCGAGGTAAGGTAACATACGCCCACTGACAGCTGTCAGAAATGATAAAATCAATAACTCAAAATACAACAAATGATTCCATAGCAGAAACAAATAAACTGGATATTAAAGTGTATTTCAAAGAAACTGATACTCATCAACTCTTGCACAATAGCTCCTTTCACCCAAAACATACCTTTTCTGATATAATTAAGTCACAAGTTTTACGATTTCATTGAATTTGTACAAGTTATTTTCATTATGCTCCCCAACTACAACAACCACTGGCAAGAAGCCAGAAATAGAAACACTAATCGTCAACCAAACCAATATCACGTACCCTACAACGGCCCTGTCTTCCATCGACCTCTACCACCTACCAATCGCCGACCACCAACCAACCCATCCAGCTATATCCCACCCCATCGCCGACCTACCTACAACACAGCCTATCAATCAAGAGGTAACCATCGACCTGACCAACAACAGAAACGACTACCAGCCCACCGACGCCAACCAGTCCCCACTCATAAGGAGGAAGAACCCTTTGTGAAGGTGTTCTTCCAAGTTTTGCAGTGCCTCCATCATTTGGCAATCCTTACCCTTCAACAGCAAGGCCAACCAGCGTTTACCTTCAAACGCAAAGTCTCTGAGTTGGATAGTTTTATCCGTCCAGCAATGAAAACATCAGCTGTCGACGCGAATATTAGATCCCTCAATCGGACATGGCTCTGTAAGGTTACGCAGGTCCTGATCGACCATTACCAAACCACACTCCAAGAGAAGCTGACCACCATTCGTACCAAGTCTTTATCATCACCTGCCGTCGACCGCATCGTTTCTCATGCCCTGTCCTGGGCCCGTCGCTCCTATGGGAAACGTCTCACTCAAGCTGTAATTTCCAAATTCTACCAAACAATCAACGAAACAAAAACCAGAGTAACCATATCTCTACCAACTGAAATGGACACTACACCTGCACCATCTAGAGCTACCACGCTGCCGAACCAAACCCCTAAACGAGCCCGAAGTTCACCTACCCCTAGTCCAGCAGACATAGGTAAACGCTCTCGTAGAGAGGGCACACCCCTTCTCTTTTCACTTTCAGACTCGTCTTCCC